AGAGGTCAGTCCCGAAATGAAGCTCATAAAGCAGTTTTACAAGTGGGATTTATTTGGCGATTATGACACGGAGGAGGGGCCGCCCACAGGTTAATCCTGAAAGGAACGTGCGCTCCGGATCACGCCCGAGGTTTTGCCCATAGGGAAACCAAGGCCTGAAGAATGGAAAGGGCATTTCTGTGTGGTCCAGCATGGTCTAGTGAGAACGGACCGGACACCCAGACCGGGGCCCCCAATATCTGACTTGGTGTTGGGCCTGCCAGGCGTGGTCACTGCAGGACCAAATGTCTGAAAGTCCCCCAGGTGGCCTAGGGTGGGAGTTGAGGCTTGATTGCACTGGGTATGGGGCGTAGTCATCCACTACAGGACTCTGTCTGCAGCTCCTCCGCGGGCAGAACTCCCGCTTTATGATAGCCTAGAGGAAATCGCAGTGACAGCCCCTCCGACACTGATGGCATCAGTGGGGAGCTGGGCAGCAGGCACCTGCAGGTCACGTGGCCCCTGGGACGGAGGCCTCAATAGGCTATCCCAGGACCGGGTGACCATGGACCCCTCGGAAGCCTATGCCCTGGAGGGTGCGGTGCTGCTTGGGAGCTGCGGGTTGCAGCTCTGGGCCCTGGGCTTCAGAGGTGTGAGACCCCCCCCTGCCAGCAGGGGGCCCTGCTGTGTGGGCCATGACCATGGTTGTCTTCCTATACCAGGGCACTGTGTCACAGTATGGTTGTCACAGCATCCACCGTATCCGATTCCCTTTATGTGAAGCAGCAAGAAAGATTCCCCAGTGATGCTCAGGCTGTAAGGCCACGGCCCTGGGCTGTTGGCATGACCCAGGTTTTGGGGACTCTGTCCCCCCAGATCATATACCAGGCCTGTGATCTTGTGCTGTTGTTGAGATGTAATTGAGTCCTGTGAACTTTTAAGTATTCTAAAATATCCAGAGCGGAAAAGGAATAGTCTTTGGGCACTGAATTGGGCAAGAGGGCCAGGTTATGCTGCAGGACAGCAACCTGAGAGTCTCAGAGGCTTCAAACAGCCCCGGTGAATTCCCATTCTGGCTGCACCTGCGTCCACTGCAGGCTGACTTTGTGTGGGTCTCACTGCGTGGAAGAGAGTCATGACTGCCCGACCCATGCCCCGTGGCTGTCTAGTGGTTAAGGCAGCCAGATCCCACTTGGGCAACTGGTGGTTCCAGGTCCAGACCCTGCTGCTTAAAAAGCCCACTGGGTGTGTGTGCATGTGTGCCCAAAGCCCTGGACAGAGTGAAAAATGGAGCAGGGGTTGTGGTGTGGCCATCTCCCATGGGCAGGGGGTACCTTCTCTCTGTCTGTCTGTCTCTGGTGAGTGCACATGCTCTCTAGAAAATTCTTTTTAGTTATAGCCAAACCATTAGCTGACTCTCTGGTGTCTGCCTGGGAGAGACACATGCCACGTGTCACGTCTGCTCTCCGTTCATTGGCAGAGCAACAAGTCTTCCGCTGCCTCGAATTCTGGAGGGCCCACAGAAACTTGGGATGGTCAGAGACCCTGTGTGGCAGGTGTCAATGTTCTCCCATCCAGTCCTCCCCAGCACCTGTGAGTCATGACCCAGTGAGACCAAGTGTCCTGATGACGCGAGCCAGAACCACATGACACCTGGGCACTGTTCCCTGGGTGCTGTTCCCTGGGTGCTGCTGTTTCTGTGAGCCCCCCTCCCCCCACCGTTTACTTGGCTCACGTTCTGCAGAAGGAATTTACTCCTCATTTGTCCTGACCCTTTGGTCCAGAATGTTAAACAGGTGCCAATGTGCCGAAGTGTGTGACATTTCACCAGCGACCACACTTCTCCCCGGACCACATTTTAGTGTGGTTGTTCTGGGCACTCCAGCCGGGAGGAATGGGCCGCAGGCTGGTGCTGGACATTCGCATCCCTGGAGTCTCGACCCTTTTCCTCTGTTAACCTTTAGTAGCATTTTCATTATTTAATCTCTGCTGCTTTATGTACCAGTCAGTTTCCTGGGAAACCAAGCAGGCACTGACTGACTGAGCTCATCTTCCGCCCTCTTCATAGCTGTATGAGCCTGCCTCTGGTTAACGCCGTGCTTCTAAGAGCCTTGAGCATGAGCGCTGACACCCTCCTCGGTGCCTTCCCAACGCAGAGTCGCCCTTTCGTTTGGTGTCCTGTAAGCGCTCGTGTCTGCAGACGTCAGAAGATGCTGCTTGCTTACTGAGACTGGAAACAGCTCGGGGTGGGAGCAGGAGGACAGTGACAGTGAGCTGACGGCAGACGAGTCTCTAAGTTCCCATCAGTGTTTTCCAGATCGTAAAAAATAATAATGGCAGCTGACACTCACCGGGCTTTGCAATGCGTCAGCCAGCGTGGGAAGGCTTTTTTTTTTTTTAACTTTTTCTTTTTTCATCTTACAATCTTTTTTTTTTTTCTCCCCCAAGATGTATCCAGCTTTATCGAAGATACTTTTTATAAACAATCATGGTATTTCAGGCAGGACGTGGGCAGACAATCGTTAACAGTCTACAACAACTTTCAAATCCCTTTTTCAATGGACTACCAAAATCAGAAAGCCACTATAAAACCCAGTGAAGTCTTCATCTGATGCTCTCAACAGGGAAAGTTTAGAGTGAGGGTTGGCATTTCACATTCAGCATGTTGTTTAACAACTTTTCACGAGCCGACCCTGACTTCCGGGAAATGAAAATGGCAGAATGACCAACCTGAAGGTCCAACAATATAGAAAAGGAACTGCTGCTCTTTTTTTTTTTTTTTTTTTTTTTTTTTTTTTTTTTTTTTTTTTTTTTTTTTTTTTTAACTGCTGCTCTTTTGAAGGACGCCAAGTCAATGCCATTGGCAAGTCCGGATTGCCTGATATCTGGTATAACCCATTTTCTGTGGTCAGGTCCCCACAGGTGTTAAAGGGAGTTAAGTCTATGCTGAAGGCAGAGAGGGAGAGGACATAAAAGCAAACTGTGGTCAGGTCCCCACAGGTGTTAAAGGGAGTTAAGTCTATGCTGAAGGCAGAGAGGGAGAGGACATAAATACTAAGTTTTCCACACCACGAGGCACCGGTGCCAAGGTGGTTGTGTGTGTCGGGGAATCCCTCCTCTCGGGAGCCAAGAGGCAGTCTCAAAACTAGAAGGGAAAGATATCGGAATCAATCCAGCTTCAGATACACTTTAATGCACCTTCCCCAAAAAACTGCAATGAAGTGTTCTGTGTGCTAACAACATAGCTTAAAACAAGAAAAGGTAAAACAAAATTCTGCATTTTTATAAAACTTGATAAACAATAGTATTTCAAACTGTGCAGTCACCAGAAGGACACAGTTATCGCAAATGCACACACTTCACTCGGCATCTCCAGCACCTACAGCTTTCTGTGCCTGGTCTGTGTTGGCATCTCCATTCTCTGCAGGGTTGGTCCCATCCTCGCCAGCATCCGCTTTGCCCCCTTTTCCTTTGGGCACCTTCTCTCCCTTACCAGGGCCCCTCTTAGGCTTGGGCTCTGGCTGTGGAGGGGCGGTTTCGCAGCCAACCTTGCAGATCTCTCTGTGGTCCGTCCTTCACCCTGGCTGTACCTCCTTTAGCCTCCCCGTCGCCTTTCTCTTGGGCCTGGTGGCGACGATGGTGGGACTCAGGCGCTGGGCGCGGGAGATGCAGCGGCGCGCGGGCTTTGGTCGGTCCGGGGGTCGCTCTCGCCTCTTCTTCTTCACACTGCTCCCCTCTTACCATCTTCACAGCAAAATACGAGGTTAACACTGTTCACTCACTTTAGAGCTGAAGGAGCCACAGAGAGTGGCGGGACTCGTTCACGACCACACAGCCAGGAGGTGGCAGGACCGATGTTCAGAGCCCAGGCTCTGGCAGTGGAGTGTGCATGCGAATGAAAAGGGGTGTTCTTGTTGGAGGGTACAGGCCATGCCCCCCATGCTGCGCTGAGGAGACCAGAGGCCGAGGGGCCACTGTCAGAGGCCGAAGTGCCTTTTGGGCAGGGTGACCAGGATAATCTGGTGCTGGCAAGTTAGAGAGAGACTGGGGTATTCCGGGCTTTGAGTGCCACTCCAGGGGGTTCCAGTTTACTGCTGTGGGCAGCAATGTGTGGACAGGAAGGGTAGGTTTTAGAGCCAGGACAGTAGCAAGGCTGAATTTTAGATTTACCACCTACTCTGAGTCACCCTGAGCAAGTTGCTTACCCTCTCTGTGCTCCTTCATATCAACCAGGTGTACTTCCTTTGCTAACATCAAAATGCTTATCTCTACAAAAGCATGGAGAGGTACTGACTCCCGTATTTAACAGTCTGGGGTCACGGTTTCAGGCACAGCTTGATCCAGGATCCAAAAGTCATCGCCAAATCTTTCTATTCACTCTGGCCTTTGTGCTGTCTCCCACCCTTGGGCTCCAGGGGTCCCCTGGTCACAGCTGCAGCTAGCAGCCCCTCCTCTCCACCTCTCCCAGCCCAGCAGCAAGGACAGAGCTACATCCCTGCGTTCCCAGCCCTCCATATCCCGAGGACTGGAAGGCTCAGGTTGGAGCTGAGGGTAGGGCTCACTCCAAAAGGCAGAAGATCCTCTTCCCACAGCAGCAGAAGGGGAGTGGGTGCTAGGGGGTGCAGAGGGGACCTGGAGACGCCCACGCACTCAGCTGCACATGCAGGTCACCGAGCGACCGAGAGCTGAAGTCATCCGTCGGGAACGTCCCTGGCCCAGCAGGGACCGGGCGCTCGAGTGCTCTTCACCTGCTCAGGAAGGCGGGCAGCAGGTGCAGCCCCACTGCGGGGCTGGGTAGCTGATGGAGGCTGGTGTGGGGAGGTGCAGGTCAGGAGGTAGCTCTGTGGAGACGGTGGCCCTAGAGGGCCCGCGGGAGGCAGTCACCGTCCAGGCCTGCAGTTTGGGGGTCTCAGGAACGAAGAACCAGCTCAGCCCTGTGGGTGGGGAAGGCATTGGGGACCCCCGGAAAGGCAGAACGGCGAAGTCTCCGTCCAGCACCCTCCCTTGACTGAACCACCCAGACATCGTGGACATCAAGCCAGCCAACATGGAGGACCTGACCGAGGTGATCACCGCGTCCGAGTTCCACCCGCACCACTGCAACCTCTTCGTCTACAGCAGCAGCAAGGGCTCCCTGCGGCTCTGTGACATGCGGGCAGCGGCCCTGTGCGACAAGCACTCCAAGCGTAAGTGCCGGGGCCCGCCGCAGGGACCACACGCTGGTGCTGGAGCGGCCAGGCTGGGCGGGCGTGTTCCGGACTGGTGGGCGGGCAGGTGCTGTGCTTCCTCACTGCTGCCTGGCAGGGAGATCCCGGTTTTGCATTCTGTTCCCTGGAATCCCTGCACAGCCCGGGGCTGCCCAGCTTCCAGGAGCCAGGCCTCTAGGGTGAGGATTACGGGATCTGGATGCTAAGGAGGCACCGAACTTAGGTGTCACCTCCAGGAAGTCTTCCCTGCCCCCACTTTGGATCAGGGCCCTCCTGTGTGTCCCCGCTCCACACCCTGAAGAACTTTCCAAGGGCTGCTCTGTCTCCCTGCAGCAGCCCATGAGCTCACTGGGGCCAGGGTCTATAACTTGTCACTTCATGCTAGAGCCCACCCCAGGGCGGTGTGCCTCAGGGTGTCCCACGGGGGTGCCGTGGATTCCTCGGGCTGAACAGGGAAACCAGTGCCACCAGCTGGGCAGCTCACGTCTCCAACGCCGAGCCCCGCCCCCTCCAGCTCTTCCTCTTGTCACCAGCCATCTTCACAGGCCCCGGGGAAGGTGCCGGGAGGAATACGGGCTCCGAGGACTGGCCACGGTCGCCACACTAAATAGCGGCAGGGCCGGGCTGCTTGGCGTGGGGCGTGCTTCTGCGCTGTGTGCTGCCATGACGGTCCTCAGGGGCACCTGCAGGCACGGACCAGCCCTTCTGTCATGTTACCAGATAACCCTGCAGGGACGGCGAGGCAGAGCAGGGCCCAGAGGGAGGTCAGGGGCTCCGTCTGGTTCATCGGTCTGCCTGTCCCCAGGGTGTGCGAATAAACATTTGAATGAATGAATGAGGGTAATGACCAGTTGGCCCAGCAGGGGGCTTCAGTGAAGTCCGAGTCCTGGCAGAGAATGGATTGGTGACAGGGTCAGTTTCCCCAGAGCCTGGTTTGGTGGGCATTCAGAGATGGGAGTGCTATTCCAGCCCCCCACACTTGGGCTGAGGCTCTCGGGAGCCTCTCGGTCCCTCCTGTTTCTTGGCCAAGTTCTGTCCCCCGAGCCCTTCCCCAGCCCTCTTCTCCAAGCCTGTCTGTGCCCCGCGTGTCATACTTAGCCCCCGAGGCAGTCAGTAGGCACCTGCTCCTGGCACGAGGGTGCAGCAGAGACCCAGAGACAGTGGCCCTCTGTCCCTCCGGAGCCGAGGCTAAGTGGGGAGGCAGTGAGCAGGTGACAAGGTGACCAAGGTCAGGATGTGGGAAGTGATGCTGGCAAGGGCCCAGAAAGCTGGGTACAAAATGGAGAGGGGTCAGGAATGGTCTCCCCGATGAGATCACAGAGGAACAGACACCCTGAGAGGGTGAGGGGTGGGCCATGCAGCTCTCTGAGAGAAGAATGTTCCAGAAGGAGGGCACTACAGGCCCTCTGATGGTGTTTCAGGGTGTTGCAGCAGAAGGCAGGGTGGCCAAGTGCAGTTGGCCAAGCTCCTGTGGCAGGAGCTAAGATCAAAAGTCCAATGGAACAGGACGACTTAAGACCCCAGCCACTCCCCTGCCCGATCACGGGAAGGATTTGGGTTTTGTTCCCAGTGTCTGATGATCAAGAGATGGGTATTTGAAAAGGATCCTCTTGATGTCCCCTGAAGGTCCAGTTGGGGGGCACTACCGAGTGGGTGTGGGTGTGCAGGGTGACTGCGGTTTGTTTGAATGGCAGGGTAAGGGCGGGGCTATCTCCCAGCTGGCTGCGATGGAGTGGGCCAACTGGGGGGTGTTGGACACTTACTGGGCTTCCGGGAGAGATGAGAGGCAGCCTGAGGGTCTGGAGTCCAGGAGAAGGCTCAGCCGGACACCACAGTGTGGACATTGTTGGTGTATGGAGGGGCAGGGAGGGCCAGGGCCAGCTGAGAGGCTGGTGGGTGGTGAGGGCAGTGCCAGCCCCGTAGCCACAGCTCAGGGGCTGGGTCCGTTTCCTACGGCTCCGCCAGCAGGTGGCTGCAAACGGCAGCCTATGACATCAGCTTACTGTCTCAGGGGCTATAGGTCAGGAGGTCCGTGTGGGTCTCATTGGCCAAGATCCAGGGGTCAGCAGGGCTGAGCTCCTTTCTGGAGTTCCTAGGGGAGAAGCCCCTTCCTTGCATCTTCCTAGCCTCTGGTGCCCCCCTTGTCTGTGATGTCTTTCTCAGGGCTCTGACCCCCTTGCCTCCTCTTTCACTTATAAAGACCCTCTGAGGCCAGCAGGTGGCTGACTCACGTGACTGACTGCGCGGTTCAAGCCCTGGCCCAGGGGATTGGAAAGCATGCCCAAAATCCCGAGAGGAGAATGGGGAAAGGACTGTGGTGAGGCTTTCTCCCTCTCCCTCTCTGCCTCTCTCCGTTGAGTGCACGTAGAGACAAGTAATAGTAATACATGAATTAAAATAGTAAAGTGCCTTTGATCGCACTGGGCCCAGGGCGACGTTCCATTTCCAAGATCAGCTGAATTACGACCTTAATTTCATCTCCCACCTTCGTTCCCCGGCCACGAAGCCTAACACACTGGCCGGTTCTGTGGGTTAGGGCAAGGCCCTCCCTAGGAGTCCACCCCAGGGGCATTATCTCCAACCACCCACGCCCACCGCCTGCTGGCCAAGGCCCCACGTGCCCCACTCTTTGCCTGCCTTCTGCTCTGGGTCACGGCACCACGGAATAGAGGGGGGAAGAAAGGAAGGTTGGGTCCTTGCTTCTGGGTCCAGCCCTGATGCCATCCGGGCCCTGTGGGGAGCAGCTGTGGCTTGGTGGCTCATCCCTGCGTGCGGCAGCAGAATCCAGAAACACCCGAAGGCCCAACGGAGCAGACAGGTCAACGATGGCGACCCATGTGATGGGTACTGTCCCGGCATTTCGCGTGTTGTTGGAGGAGAACGTTGAATGGCAGGTAAATGACTCGGGGCGGGGGGAGCAGAAGCAAGGACTACTAAAAGGGAAGGAAAAGAAGAAAAGAAGAAAAAAAGAGAAGGAAAAAAGAAGAGAAAAGAAAAAAGAAAGGGGAAAAGTAAACATGGATGCAAAGAAACCCTGGGAAGGAATACACCCAGAAACTGCCCCGAGAATGAGCTGTAGAAAGCTGGTTTCACATTTTTCCATGTCTCTATGGTAATGCTGGGTTTACGTTTTGAATGAGAAGACGTGCGTGGGGGTGGCATTTAGCGAGAACAGAGCCGGTGGTGTGGGAGAGGCTGTGTGTGCCCCACACCACCCGAATGCCACCTTCTGTGACTGGAGGAGGCACTCCGAGCCCCGGAGCATCCTGTCCCTCCCTGTGTGCAAGGACGGTCGCCCGCCAGGCAGGAGCGTGGATTCTGTTCCTCTTCTGGGTCTAGGCACAAACCCAGCGATGTATGAGCCACGCATGGGTCAGCCCCAACCTCGAGAGCGAGCAGCAGGACTTCGGCCTCCGTGACTCAGTTCGGCTTGTGCTTCTCGCCACCTCTCCCAGGGCTGCAGTGAGCGGTGACCTGAGGGCCTCGGCCCAGATGGGCGCTCAGGGTCTGGAAGGTGCTTGCCTGGGGCGCCATATGGAAGATATGGAAGGAGGGACCTTGGGACCGACCACTGCTTGGGTGAGGCTGAGAGGTTCTCCAGGGCCTGCTGGCAGCTGCTCAGAGACTCACAGGGGGCCTTGGCAGTACGCTGAGGTCCGGGCCCATCCCCAAGCCAGGATCGAGGCCTGCAGACAGGGCCAGGCCAGGGTTCTCTGAGCTTTGCCCCATGCTCACAGGTGAAGCTGGTCTTCGGTTTTCACTTCCTGTACTCTCTTTGCCCAATTCTATTAAGATGATTTGATTTTCCTAAAATGACAACTTTGTCTTTTTCTGGCATAGCTGATATAACTTGAAGTGTCAGTAAAGCTCAGGTGTAAGTCTATCTGGTGTCTCAGGAGAAAAAAATTATTTTTTCACAACCATTTCAAATTCTATTTTCTCTTTTTTTTTCAATTTTTTTTTTTTTTTTGCCAGAGGGCATGTTTCCTTACCAAAGAGAGAAAGAGAGAAAGAGAGGGAAAGTGAGGAATCACCCCCGGGGATGGCCACAGCACAATCCCTTCTCCTCCATTCTCCTCTTGGGGTTCTGAGCATGCGTGTACCTGGGGCCTGGTGTGTTTTCAGGCTTCCAGGTCTGGGACTAGAACTGCAGGGTCTGCTCTGTGGGACCCAGTGCCTTAACCACTGTGCCATCTGCTGGTCCTAATTGCATTCCTTTTTGATTATTGGGTTATTGGAAATAATTTTGTATTTACATTTTTTTCTAGAATGCTTTTTTTATTCTCTGACTCAATATCCTGCCAGGAGCTCTCTCTTTAATGCCAGCAAGAAGATTATTCAGCAGTCACGTACCTTTACAGCTTCTGTGTCCCTTTTCTTGTTTAATTTACCACAAATAGGTAGTGAGCCGTGGAAACCCCAGCCTGTGTGTGCTCTACCCACATTGTTTTTGGTTCTCATGAGAAATGAAGCGAGCAGCCAGGTCCCAGTTAGCAGGTGCTGCAGGATACAAACGATGTTATTCAAACCAAAATAATTTTATTTTTATTTTTTTTGGTTTGCTACAGCATGCATGCACTCACCAGAGAGACCCAGAGAGTGAGAAAGAGGGAAAGTGAGAAGTCGCCCCACAGGGGATGGCCGTCCTGCAATCCCTTCTCCATTCTCCCAGGATTTGGGGTACCCATACACACCCAGGTGGCATGGTTTTTCAAGCCACAGGTCTGAGATTAGAACTGCACTGTTGGCCATGTGGGACCAGCCTCCTTAGAGTCCATGCCACCTGCTGGCTCCAGTCTGCTTCCTTGTCATTCTAGGGTCTAGAAGCTGCTGTTCCTCATGGCCCAGGTGTTTTTAAGACACGTGGAGGTTGGGTCTAGTCCTGTACCCTGCACCTCTGTCCCATCCAGTTTCTGCTCAGGACTCAGGAAGTGGTAGATCCCGGCGCTCAGAGACGGCGTTCACAGCCTATCCCGCGCTCAGAGGCGGCGTTCACAGCCTATCCCGGCGCTCAGAGACGGCGTTCACAGCCTCGCTCTCCTAGCAGGATAGAACCGTGATTTTCTTTTTCACCAAACAAACCCCCTAGATTTTCACCTCTGCCGTGGGACAGATGAGGAAACCCATGGTCTGAGAAGCTGTGGCTTCCCTGACCTCTCCGTTTCAGGACAGAGCTGGGGCACCCAGACCACCCAGCTCTGTCCCCAGCTTCCGGCTCTCTCTCTCTCCCTGAAGCACTAGATATCCGGGTCTTTTGTCTGCTAGGCATTGCGACAAGTAACCATGGAAACGACCATACACGAGTCCTCAAAATAGACACTTATTTCTGCTTTGACAGCGCCCGAGTCTGCTGGAAGGAGTGGCTGGGACACAGACTTGGCCTAGAAGAGGGGTAGTGGCTGCCGGGCCTCCCTGGTCCGTGACTGCGTGCGGCCAGCCCTGGCACACAACCATGGCGCACGTGCATGGGGCACTGGCACACTGCAGCTGCTCTGAGTGCGCGCTCGGGTGAGGACGCGGTTACTCACTTCCCAGGTGGGAGGTTGGGTGTTCGCCTCCTGCTGCAGCCGTGCAAGTCGCCATCAGCCTAGCACGAAAATGACACACGTGTGTTTTGTATCGTTCCGGAGCTCGGAGGCCTCAAGTCAAGGCAGGACTTTATCCCTCCTGGAGGCTTCCGGGGAGAATCTGCTTCCTCGTCTTACCTAGCATCTCGAAGCCACGGTGTTCCTCACGGCCCTTCCTCCTTCTGCGGGCATCTGTCCTACCTGGCGTCCTTTGTCCCAGGTCCGGCCCTTCCTCCTCCCTCCGAGGGCATCTGTCCAGCTCGGCGTCCATTGTCCCAGGTCCTCCCGCCTTTGGCTTTCCTGCCCCCCTCCTGTGCAGACACATACAGTCACATCGGCCAGATTACCCAGGGAGCCTCCCCTTCTCATGGCCCTTCAGTGATCACGTCTGCGACGCCCTTGGCCCTGTGAGGTCACATCAGCCCGTGCACAGATTCAGGGAGGAGGGTGCAGATTTCCTTAGGGGCCATTATTGCCTACCACTGAGGCACAGAGGGGTGAGGGCATCTTCCCGAGAGCGCGCAGCTACCTGGAGCCAAGGTAGGGCCTCAGGTAGTCTCGTGCTATCAGCCTGAGCTCTTTCTCCCTTCATCTTCGCAGAAGCCTTGGAGCAAGCAGTTCCACGGGAGTGCGGGTGAGCGAGGTTCCTTTAAAGGGCCATGTCGGGGAGACGCACAGGGCTCACCTCCAGGGTAGGTGTGCGGAGAAAGGCCGACCCAGCCCAGCCCCTGCAGCTGGCTGCGGCCTAGCCCAGCAACGTGGCCAGCCGGTCCACAGGCCCTGTGGTTGGGTTCTGAGGCCGTGAGACAGGAGTGCAGTGGTGGGGCGGGGAGTGAGATCAGAGAAGGGCGTGGACAGAGGTGCTTAAGGAGCTCTGGGTTTAGGAGCTGTGGGGACCTGCCGGGGTCAGGTCTGAGTGGGGCGTGTTCTCGGGCTTCCTGTGGCTGCTGAGGAGAAAGAAGACTGGGTGAGGCTGGCAGTGGGGCCGGCAGGGAGACCAGCACCACAGTGTGGCGAAGGTGCTGTGCAGTTGTCGGCACAGGCAGGAGGGAGGCAGTGGGTCTCGCATGCACGTGAAAGGCCCAGCCTGCTGGGTTTGCTGGATGGGGTCATACTGAGAGCAGGAGAGGGTCAGGGCAGGCTTCGGGCCCTGTGCTGAGCTCCGTGGAGGAGACCTAGGGAGATGACTGCCAGGTGAGCAGGGGTGTCAGAGTCCCAGGGTTCTAGGCAGGCCTCGGGGTGCTCCGGTATGCCTGGTCATAATTAGGGTGGCCGGGAGAGGCTTTTCTGGAGAATGAAGAAGAGCCAGGCAGGGACTGAGCATCTAGGCAGTGGGGGGAGAGCGCCTGCCAAGACAAGAGGGACAGTAGGAATGGGGGTACAGGGGCTGCTTGCCGGCCTTGGAGGCTCAGCTGGGGCTGGACTGTATTTCCGCCTGGTGGGGACGTATCGTGTGGCGCTGACGGGGCCGCACAGACAGACAGTGAATGTTGCTAGCTCTATCAGGGAGTGTTTATCGTTCCAATGCCTGTAGGAACACTTGGGCTCAGAGAGCTTAAGGGGCTTGCCTGGGGTCGCACAGCACTGTTCGCTCTGTTCGCCCTGCTGCCTGGTGTGTGGTGGAGCTGGGGCTGTGGGGAGAAGGCGAGGGCAAAGCATCCGAAGGGGCACTCCCGCCTCGGCCTTGTGTAGCGTTCAGTGCTTAGAGCCCTGCCTTGCAGGAGGCCCTGGGCCCTGCAGAAGGGAGGCCGGAATGAGCTGCAGTGGGATTTGCATGTGTACAGTCTGCCTGAACAGCAGGCTGCTTGGGACCAGGTCTGGAAGGAGCCCGTCGACCATAGGTCGGAACCTGAGCCTTGATCCTGGGGCACCCGGGAGCCATGGAGTACTAGCAGAAGGAGAGGGATGGCATCAGACTGTGTGGGAGGCCGGGGGATGTCGGCACCACCCTCGACTTTACCTTGTGTCTCCTCCCAGCCCCTCAGACCCGGCTTCCCACACCCTGGTTGGACCCCCCAGGCCTCCCACCCACCGCCTGAGCAGAGGACGGGGAGGAGAGCTGTCACTCCTCCCCCGCATGTGCCTATGACACAGTGACATGCCAGGGGACAGTAAGATGTGACTGTCAGGGAACCAGCTAGAGCCTAATTATAAGAAATCATCAAAAAAAAAGAAAACAAGATGGACATGTTTGCTGATTCAGCGCCCTCCCGCTTTTAAATAGTTGGGGGGTTAGGAAGGGGAGCGAGGTGGGATTGGCCGGTCCCAAGTGACAGGGGCCCTGGGACACATTCCTTTCCGTTCTGGCTGTGGGAACTACTTCCAAGTCCAAGGTCAAGGTGACCCCATCAATTAGAGGGGAGACCCCTTGTTTGCCAATGCCCCCCTGGGGAGGTGCAGCGTGTGTGTGTGCACGCACACACGTGTGTGTGCATGAGTGTGTGTGCGTGCGTGTATGTGTGTCGGGGGTATAAGCACTGACAATAGTAGGTTTCTCTATGTTTTGAAAGAAAACAAAAACTCTGTTGTATCAAAAATTTTATAGAAATATTTTTTTTAAAAAAGGAATTTTTAGAGATAATTTTTTCAGGCTTGTTCACATCCCTTCCCAAGATCTGTTGCACTTTGGGTCCTTTGGTCCTGAGACGCCGTCAGAAGTGCCTGAGGACGTCAGGTTGGGGTGGTGAAGGGCCGGCGTGCCTTGGCGTGCTGATGCAGCTGTTGACTAGGTGGCCTCTCAGCCTGGCGTGTGCGGTGTTCTCCTCCTCCAGGCTGGGGACAGGCTGCGGCCACTGGCATGGAGCACAGCCTGTGCCTCTGTGATTATCCGCCTCCTAACTTCTGAAAGGCGCGCTGGGAACGTGGGCCAGCCCTCTGTAGAGTAGGGGGAGTCTGGCCGGACGAGACCACCGAGCAGGTCGGGGGTACAAGTGCCACTTCTCAAGTTGGCGTGCAAGAGTTGCGTGCACTTTGTGTATGTGTTTTAGATGCTGCTATAGGGCATGCCCGCTCACTGGAGAATGAGAAATGGAAAGTGAGAAATCCCCCCGAGTGGGGACACCGCAATCCCGTCTCCTCCGTTCTCCTCAGGATTTTGGGCGTGCGCACACACACACACACACGCGGCCGCATGATTTTCAAGTTGCCAAGTTCCAGACTCGAGCTGCACTTGGCCGTGTGGGAGCCCAGTGCCGTAACCACCACCTCACCTGTTAGCCCTGCCCTTTGTGTTTATGTAACTGTCCTGGGGGCAAAAACACTCCTTCAGTCCAAAGCGGGTTCCTGACACCTGCGGCCCCCTGCAGGTGGGGCCACCCGGTCCCTGCTGTGGCCTGCCATCTTCCTCCTCTCAAAGCCTTCCCCCAGATTAGGCCTTCACCCCTTCCTGTGTGTTTAAAGACGACACGAAATCTCACGGACTTAGTGTAAGTGTGAAATCAAATGCTGTAACCTTATTTACGCTGGGCATCGGAGAGGAGAGGAAATGTCATTGATTCTCTTTGGCTTAACAGAGAAAAAGGACTAAATTGTATACCTGCAGAAACAAAGCTGTCAACTTATTATCAGGGCACAAAACAATACTATTTAATAAATATTTTTTAAAATCTGTTTCAAAAATTTTATAGAAATATTTAAAAAGAAAAATGGGAATTTTTAGGAATAAGTTTTCAGGCCTTTTAACATCCCTTCCCATATATTTGTGAGACAATCAATCAAACTTCAGATGTTTTAGAGCCTAAAGGTGCTGGGCTTTTACTACCCTGTTCCATCCAGGCTCCTCACCACCCCGGGGAGGGGAGTCCTGGAGAAACCCACGTGAACCATGCCCCCCCAGCTTCCAGCCCTGCTGTGCCCCCACTGCCAAGGGGGTAGTGTCTGGCCTCAAGTCCTCATGGTGCCGTTTTTCTATTTCTTCCATGAGCGAGAAGGAAAAAAAGAGTCAGGCCCCCCAGCGGGTCCCCAGGGAGGTCTCTGGGTGCGACCCTGGAACCTTTCCCTGTGGTCAGCCCCGCAGGTGCCATTCCGATGTCAGGCACCTGCTGCATTTCTCCCTGGTCGACCCCAGAACCTGCCCTTGTTGAGAGAGAAGAGCCCAGCTGCTGGGAAGCGCACCCTGACCGCGGAGGGAGTTTGAGCTCAGGAGGCAGGACTTGGAGACCAGGGGGCTTGTCGAAGGTGGGCAGGGTCCTCCCTAAAGAGGGATGCATCTGTGACCCATTTGTGGTTCTGTAATAAGTCCCTGCCAGCTGAAATCATCCCAGTTCCAAAATATGACATGGCCTGGTGGCGTGACAAACCGGGTTCCTCTCCCACCTCTGCGTGAACGGCAGCGGGACCGCCTGCCTTGAAATGCAGTGTGGCCGGTTCACGCAGAGGGACGGGGGCTGGAAGCAGCCTTACTCCTCAGAGGCTGTGGGGAAGCGGATGAGGAAATCGCAGGTCTCCCCGAAGCTCTGGGAGCTGGGTGTCGAAGGCTTTCCTCCAGAGAAGGGGGCCTCCTGCTCTGGTTTTCAGACACAGGAGGCGTGACGGGAAATGTGGGAGCCTGTCCCTGCTGGCTACACGGCTCCCTTCCTTCCCCACACCCGAGGGCCTGGGATGCGGAGGGTAGTAACAGACCCGGCCTCCAGGTGCTGGAACCTTCTTTCCTGTGTGGAAAGGGGACTCCAGCCACCCACCTGCCTCCACTCTCACCCTGACTCGGGATCAGTGGCCCATGCCTCCTACTAGTAACACCCTCCACTTGCCGTGCCTGGCTAGGTCCTGTGCGGTGGCCCCCTCAGGCCCCTCCCAGGCTCACTCCTTTCCCTGCCTGCACGGGCCTTCAGCTCACCCCTGCGCCAGCCTTGGCACGGGCTCTTCTTTCAGCTCCTATCCCAGGCTCCCCCTGCTCTCTCCCACTTCGCTCATTGCTGCTCCAACATCATGCCCCGTAGAGGCCCTGTCCTTCCGCATCGCCTGCCCATCACTCTCTGCCTCCTCCCTTCTGCCATCCTTCTTCCCAGCACTTGTCACGGCCTGACAGTGACGGTGGCACTCAGGTTTACTGTCCGTCTCGGTGAGGAGAGTGCTGGCTGCCTGGGACCTTGTGCTGGTCACTGTGTCATCCCAGGGTCACCAACAGCGCCCGGCCGGGAGTAGGCCGAGAGGACTGGATGCGCACGGTGATGAGTGAGTGCACGAGGACATCCGCCCGGAGTAGGCCGAGAGGACTGGATGCGCACGGTGATGAGTGAGTGCACGAGGACATCCGCCCGGAGTAGGCCGAGAGGACTGGATGCGCACGGTGATGAGTGAGTGCACGAGGACATCCGCCCGGAGTAGGCCGAGAGGACTGGATGCGCACGGTGATGAGTGAGTGCACGAGGACATCCGCCCGGAGTAGGCCGAGAGGACTGGATGCGCACGGTGATGAGTGAGTGCACGAGGACATCCGCCCGGAGTAGGCCGAGAGGACTGGATGCGCACGGTGATGAGTGAGTGCACGAGGACATCCGCCCGGAGTAGGCCGAGAGGACTGGATGCGCACGGTGATGAGTGAGTGCACGAGGACATCCGCCCGGAGTAGGCCGAGAGGACTGGATGCGCACGGTGATGAGTGAGTGCACGAGGACATCCGCCCGGAGTAGGCCGAGAGGACTGGATGCGCACGGTGATGAGTGAGTGCACGAGGACATCCGCCCGGAGTAGGCCGAGAGGACTGGATGCGCACGGTGATGAGTGAGTGCACGAGGACATCCGCCCGGAGTAGGCCGAGAGGACTGGATGCGCACGGTGATGAGTGAGTGCACGAGGACATCCGCCCGGAGTAGGCCGAGAGGACTGGATGCGCACGGTGATGAGTGAGTGCACGAGGACATCCGCCCGGAGTAGGCCGAGAGGACTGGATGCGCACGGTGATGAGTGAGTGCACGAGGACATCCGCCCGGAGTAGGCCGAGAGGACTGGATGCGCACGGTGATGAGTGAGTGCACGAGGACATCCGCCCGGAGTAGGCCGAGAGGACTGGATGCGCACGGTGATGAGTGAGTGCACGAGGACATCCGCCCGGAGTAGGCCGAGAGGACTGGATGCGCACGGTGATGAGTGAGTGCACGAGGACATCCGCCCGGAGTAGGCCGAGAGGACTGGATGCGCACGGTGATGAGTGAGTGCACGAGGACATCCGCCCGGAGTAGGCCGAGAGGACTGGATGCGCACGGTGATGAGTGAGTGCACGAGGACATCCGCCCGGAGTAGGCCGAGAGGACTGGATGCGCACGGTGATGAGTGAGTGCACGAGGACATCCGCCCGGAGTAGGCCGAGAGGACTGGATGCGCACGGTGATGAGTGAGTGCACGAGGACATCCGCCCGGAGTAGGCCGAGAGGACTGGATGCGCACGGTGATGAGTGAGTGCACGAGGACATCCGCCCGGAGTAGGCCGAGAGGACTGGATGCGCACGGTGATGAGTGAGTGCACGAGGACATCCGCCCGGAGTAGGCCGAGAGGACTGGATGCGCACGGTGATGAGTGAGTGCACGAGGACATCCGCCCGGAGTAGGCCGAGAGGACTGGATGCGCACGGTGATGAGTGAGTGCACGAGGACATCCGCCCGGAGTAGGCCGAGAGGACTGGATGCGCACGGTGATGAGTGAGTGCACGAGGACATCCGCCCGGAGTAGGCCGAGAGGACTGGATGCGCACGGTGATGAGTGAGTGCACGAGGACATCCGCCCGGAGTAGGCCGAGAGGACTGGATGCGCACGGTGATGAGTGAGTGCACGAGGACATCCGCCCGGAGTAGGCCGAGAGGACTGGATGCGCACGGTGATGAGTGAGTGCACGAGGACATCCGCCCGGAGTAGGCCGAGAGGACTGGATGCGCACGGTGATGAGTGAGTGCACGAGGACATCCGCCCGGAGTAGGCCGAGAGGACTGGATGCGCACGGTGATGAGTGAGTGCACGAGGACATCCGCCCGGAGTAGGCCGAGAGGACTGGATGCGCACGGTGATGAGTGAGTGCACGAGGACATCCGCCCGGAGTAGGCCGAGAGGACTGGATGCGCACGGTGATGAGTGAGTGCACGAGGACATCCGCCCGGAGTAGGCCGAGAGGACTGGATGCGCACGGTGATGAGTGAGTGCACGAGGACATCCGCCCGGAGTAGGCCGAGAGGACTGGATGCGCACGGTGATGAGTGAGTGCACGAGGACATCCGCCCGGAGTAGGCCGAGAGGACTGGATGCGCACGGTGATGAGTGAGTGCACGAGGACATCCGCCCGGAGTAGGCCGAGAGGACTGGATGCGCACGGTGATGAGTGAGTGCACGAGGACATCCGCCCGGAGTAGGCCGAGAGGACTGGATGCGCACGGTGATGAGTGAGTGCACGAGGACATCCGCCCGGAGTAGGCCGAGAGGACTGGATGCGCACGGTGATGAGTGAGTGCACGAGGACATCCGCCCGGAGTAGGCCGAGAGGACTGGATGCGCACGGTGATGAGTGAGTGCACGAGGACATCCGCCCGGAGTAGGCCGAGAGGACTGGATGCGCACGGTGATGAGTGAGTGCACGAGGACATCCGCCCGGAGTAGGCCGAGAGGACTGGATGCGCACGGTGATGAGTGAGTGCACGAGGACATCCGCCCGGAGTAGGCCGAGAGGACTGGATGCGCACGGTGATGAGTGAGTGCACGAGGACATCCGCCCGGAGTAGGCCGAGAGGACTGGATGCGCACGGTGATGAGTGAGTGCACGAGGACATCCGCCCGGAGTAGGCCGAGAGGACTGGATGCGCACGGTGATGAGTGAGTGCACGAGGACATCCGCCCGGAGTAGGCCGAGAGGACTGGATGCGCACGGTGATGAGTGAGTGCACGAGGACATCCGCCCGGAGTAGGCCGAGAGGACTGGATGCGCACGGTGATGAGTGAGTGAGTGCACGAGGACCTCAGCCCCGAGTAGACCGAGAGGACTGGATGAACACGGGGATGAGTGAGTGCGTGCACGAGGACCTCAGCCCGGAGTAGGCTGTGAGGACTGGGTGAGCACGGGGATGAGTGAGTGCGTGCACGAGGACCTCAGCCCGGAGTAGGCTGTGAGGACTGGGTGAGCACGGGGATGAGTGAGTGCGTGCACGAGGACCTCAGCCCGGAGTAGGCTGTGAGGACTGGGTGAGCACGGGGATGAGTGAGTGCGTGCACGAGGACCTCAGCCCGGAGTAGGCTGTGAGGACTGGGTGAGCACGGGGATGAGTGAGTGCGTGCACGAGGACCTCAGCCCGGAGTAGGCTGTGAGGACTGGGTGAGCACGGGGATGAGTGAGTGCGTGCACGAGGACCTCAGCCCGGAGTAGGCTGTGAGGACTGGGTGAGCACGGGGATGAGTGAGTGCGTGCACGAGGACCTCAGCCCGGAGTAGGCTGTGAGGACTGGGTGAGCACGGGGATGAGTGAGTGCGTGCACGAGGACCTCAGCCCGGAGTAGGCTGTGAGGACTGGGTGAGCACGGGGATGAGTGAGTGCGTGCACGAGGACCTCAGCCCGGAGTAGGCTGTGAGGACTGGGTGAGCACGGGGATGAGTGAGTGCGTGCACGAGGACCTCAGCCCGGAGTAGGCTGTGAGGACTGGGTGAGCACGGGGATGAGTGAGTGCGTGCACGAGGACCTCAGCCCGGAGTAGGCTGTGAGGACTGGGTGAGCACGGGGATGAGTGAGTGCGTGCACGAGGACCTCAGCCCGGAGTAGGCTGTGAGGACTGGGTGAGCACGGGGATGAGTGAGTGCGTGCACGAGGACCTCAGCCCGGAGTAGGCTGTGAGGACTGGGTGAGCACGGGGATGAGTGAGTGCGTGCACGAGGACCTCAGCCCGGAGTAGGCTGTGAGGACTGGGTGAGCACGGGGATGAGTGAGTGCGTGCACGAGGACCTCAGCCCGGAGTAGGCTGTGAGGACTGGGTGAGCACGGGGATGAGTGAGTGCGTGCACGAGGACCTCAGCCCGGAGTAGGCTGTGAGGACTGGGTGAGCACGGGGATGAGTGAGTGCGTGCACGAGGACCTCAGCCCGGAGTAGGCTGTGAGGACTGGGTGAGCACGGGGATGAGTGAGTGCGTGCACGAGGACCTCAGCCCGGAGTAGGCTGTGAGGACTGGGTGAGCACGGGGATGAGTGAGTGCGTGCACGAGGACCTCAGCCCGGAGTAGGCTGTGAGGACTGGGTGAGCACGGGGATGAGTGAGTGCGTGCACGAGGACCTCAGCCCGGAGTAGGCTGTGAGGACTGGGTGAGCACGGGGATGAGTGAGTGCGTGCACGAGGACCTCAGCCCGGAGTAGGCTGTGAGGACTGGGTGAGCACGGGGATGAGTGAGTGCGTGCACGAGGACCTCAGCCCGGAGTAGGCTGTGAGGACTGGGTGAGCACGGGGATGAGTGAGTGCGTGCACGAGGACCTCAGCCCGGAGTAGGCTGTGAGGACTGGGTGAGCACGGGGATGAGTGAGTGCGTGCACGAGGACATCAGCCCAGAGTAGGCTGTGAGGACTGGGTGAGCATGGGGATGAGTGAGTGAGTGCACGAGGCCGGAGTAGGCCGAGAGGACTGGGTGAGCACGGGGATGAGCGAGTGAGTGCACGAGGACATCAGCCCGGAGTAGGCTGTGAGGACTGGGTGAGCACGGGGATGAGTGAGTGAGTGTGTGCATGAGGACATCAGAGTACGCGTGGCCATGTGTATCCCCAGCCTCCCTGCAGAGCGGTCGACAAGAGCTGTGTTTCCGGGAAGGGCCATGGTAGGAATAGCATCCGTCTCAGACAGGTGGGAGAGGGGGGTCCCAGATGAAGGTGGAAGGGTTAGGATAGGCCTGGGAAGAGGACATGAGACCCTGTGACCATGAGGGACAGCAGGGAGGGGGCTCTCGTGAGCAGCTGGGGAACTGTGATTGGCTCTCTGCTTCCCTGTTTCAGGCCTGGAGATTCAGAACAGGTCAGCAGGCAGGGCTGCCACTTAGCTGGTTTCCATGGGGATAGCTGGACAGGTTGTCAATGCCTCAGCCCTTCCCGACTGGCTCGTAAGTGGCTGCCAATCTCCCTGCTCCCTTTCCTATGGAAGGACGGCTGGCCCAGCAGGGATTCTGGTCCCCATCCTGCTCCAGCGCCAGGGCCACTGCAGGGTCTGCTGGTCAGCGAGGGCATTGGTGGGCTGACAGTAGCAGACGTGAGGTGCAGGAGCGTGTCCTGCTGTGTGGGGACCTGGGCAGCTCCGGGAGGCTGGGTTACTAGAACAGCCGGGAGGGGAAGCTGCTTGGGAGCCTTCGGTGCTCACTTCGTCCAGCTGTTCCTGTCCAGTAGGGGCAGCAGAGTACTGCCTTCAGGGTCAGTTAGTGCCGTCCTGTGTGGAGCAACTGAGATGAGAGAAGGCAGTGTGTGTAGGGGGGAGCAAATACACACACATCCCTCTGTGACTGTGTGTGGGTTTTGTGGCAGCCACACACAACCCGCCCGTGAGCAGGGCTTGGCCACAAGTGCACAGCACACCTGGCCTAAGGTCCCAGGGCTGGTTTGTGCCATAGCCACAAGCAGTGCCAGGTGGCAGAGGACACTGTCCAGCACACTCAAGAATGTCAGGACACCTCTGCAGCTGGTGCTCAGTATCACCACTAGGGGCAGCAGACTACCACTCATGGCATGTAGATCTGGGCTCAAGTTCGCAGTCCACCACTGTCTTTAGCTCTGGGCCCCTGGGCACAGTTTTTAGCTGTTTTACATCCATTTTCTTGGCTATGAAATGAGAATAATAATGGTATGGACCTGAGTCAAAAAAAAAATTAGAGAAGTAATAAACAGGAAAAACTCAGCAGAGAACCTGACTCAAATAAACACTCAATGAACATTGTTCCCACAAGTGACCCCTCCTAAGGGCCAGTCCTCTCCTCTTTGGAGGGTCACTTGGGGTCCAAAGGTGTTCAGTTGCAGGTCTGTGAATGGATGAACGGATGGCTGTACACGCAGACAGCACGAGCCCAGGTGCAAACAGAGCCATCTGCCATCCCAGCCCCATAGCCAGGAGCAGCCTGGTGACCGCATTGTGTCTCTCTCCGCAGTCTTCGAAGAGCCCGAGGACCCCAGTAACCGCTCCTTCTTCTCGGAAATCATCTCCTCCGTGTCAGACGTGAAGTTCAGCCACAGCGGCCGGTACATGCTCACCCGGGATTACCTCACGGTCAAGGTCTGGGACCTGAACATGGAGGCAAGGCCCATAGAGACATACCAGGTGGGCGCTGCAGCCTGGGAAGCCTCGGGGCCTCTGCGGGCGGCAGACCCCCTGCAGGCCTCCTTCCTTGGGCTGAGAACCCCATGGAGGTTCCCTCCTATAGGGCAGACTTTCCTGTGCCCCTGGCCTGGGTGAGGACACAGGCTCAGGGAACCAAGCAGCTCATCCCAGCCGTGGACCTCAGCTGAGGTGGGTGGCTGCTCAGCCCTGCCTCCTGGGGCCTGTGCCTGCCCTTGAACTCAGGGCGGGAGAAGTATGAGCACACGCGTGGTTCAGTTCAGGGCTGACAGAGGGGCTCCCAGAGCCAGCGCCTGCTGTCCTGCCATTCTGGGGTTCAGAGCTGCCCTCTCCTGGGGAGCACCCTTCTGTGCATGAAGTGGGGAAGTGGGGAAGTGGGGAGCTCACTGTTTCCAGAGCCTCAGCGCAGGCCTTGGAAACCAGGCCTCCAGGCTGCAACTCGGGCGTCTTCCTAGAATGCTATTTTTTTTTTTTTCTACTGTGATCTACCCAGGTATGTTGGGGTAGAAAACAAAATTCACTTGAGTTAAAATGAAACATGGGCTGTGGCCAGCAGGTGGCATGGTGATTAAGGTGCTGAACTCCCACATGGTTGACTATGGTTCAAGTCACGGGCCCGGCAGCTTGAAAATCACACTGGGTGCACGTGTGTGTGTGCCCAGAATCCTGAGAGGACACTAGAGGAGAAGGAATTGCAGCAGGGCTATCCTCCCTAGGAGGCTGATTTCTCACTTGCAGAGCTATCCTCCCTAGGAGGCTGATTTCTCACTTTTCTTTCTCTCTGTTTCTCTCTGGCGAGTGCAAGCACCCTATGGCAAAAACCTAAAAATAAGCACAAACCAAAAACAAACCAAGAAAATATGAAACGTGGACTTGAAAGAAACATGGGGTTGCTACAAAGCTAGTTCCAGTCGTGTCTCTAGCTGGGACATCCAGGAGGCCTTGCAGGAAGTGGATAAGGCTGTACCGTGAAGGAGTGAGACTGGGTCACACAGATGTACACGGGGAAGCAGCAGAGGTGCCCTCACAGCGTCACCAAGCCTTAGGTGCACGTGGGGTGCTGCGCACTTGATGATGGGACCTCCGCCCTTTCTGTCCCTGCAAAGAGGGTGCGGTCAGCCCGTGTAGCAGAAAGGAAACCCTGGCACTGAGTGGCTAGGATAGCAGGGTGGTGCCTCGTAGCTGGGCAGTGACAGCCTCAGAGCCCAGACTCAGCCCTCATGTCCCACCCCGCCGGCTAAACCTGGCGGAGAAGCATCCTGAGGCAGAGGGCCCCACTGGGCCGAGCTGCAGAGCCCTCCCAGACAGGCACTCTGGGTCTGACCGGGCCGGGGTGGACAGTGTGCTCCTGGGGCAGATGCCCCCAAGGACACCTCCTGTGGTGGCCCATTAGCTGTGTGTGGCTCCTGAGATCCTGCCACTCACTGGCTCCCCGGGACCTGCTCACACCACACACCCCAGGCAGGGATCTGCTTTTTCTGTCCTCTGGGAATAGCAGAGGCCCATGATTGGGATGGGCACAAATACCCCCTGCTTTGACCTGCAGGAGTGACCAGTACAGTGCTTTCTGGAGGGCCAGCCCAGAGAAGTGACTGGTTCCCACCCCCTGGGCCCTCGGCCTTTCATGTCCCTGCAGTCTGCAAAGGCCTGCGAGCCCCAGACACTATGGTGTTCTCTACCGGCTTTTCGTGGGGAAAAGGTGTATAGTCGTCAGACCTCTTCCAAGCATGCAAGGACCCAGTAAAGCAGGAGATGCCTGCTCTGGAGGGAGAGCCAAAGCTGTGTGCTTGGCTCGTGGCCCAGTGGACCTATTGATTCGAAATGGTAATAGTAAGTCCACAAAAGCAACACGGCTCACAGTTATGGTTACTGACGATCTGCTGGAAATTGTATACAGCAGGACGGTGTGTGGCCAGCTTGCAGCACATAACAAGTAGGAACCGTTTTCCTCCCCTCACACAAAGAAGGGAGGGCGGTCAGGAACGGCGCTGCTTCGTGACCTCATCAGTGTCCAGTGGTCCCTCCTGTAACCCAGTCTGCCGTCATTTGGGTGTCGGTTTTCCAACATGGGAGGTACTTCATGGTGGCAAAATGGCTACCACATCTCCGGGCATTATGCCTAGATTCCAGGCAGAAAGCGGTAGGAAATAGGTCTGTTGTATGTTTTAGAGTAAGATTGCAAAAGCTTCCCCAGGGCACTTCTCAGATTGCTACAATCCACTGGTTAGAATGGGTCCCTGGCCAGCCACGGCAGCCTCCGGGAACATGAGTCTTTTTATAACCTCTGTGGTTGAGGAAGGCAGAGGAGAAGGGGGTGTAGATGGGTCTCAAGGAGCACCCCTCAGCATGTGCCACACTGAACTAAGTCCCTGGCCAACGTCTCATCTGAGCCTCCGGCTGTCCTGGGGGTGGGACTAGTGTTCTCCCCATCTCGTTTTACTTGCACACGAGTGAGTTACATGGTGTAACTGTGGTGACCCAGTGAGCAAGCAGCTGAGGGACCCAACCTTAAACTGCGGTGCACATCTTTCTCCAGAGCCACGCTGTTCCTCACGCTGCCACCAGAGGGCAGTAGCCGCCTAGCACCCTGCAGAGCGCGGGCGTGGTTGGATGTGCAGCAGCGAGGCTGGGACGCAGTGAGGACATGGCAGTGCAGGAGGCGGGAGCCCTGGGCGTGGCACAGTGTGGTACCGTCTGTGGTAGAAGGCAGGCACCGCGTGGCCCCTGTGGTGTTTGTTAGATGCTGCGTGTAGCCAGTGAAATGTGCCCACCTGACAGCACAAGGCCCTGGCCCAGGGAGCAGGGCCCTGGCCTCACCCTCTCGGGTCCCAGGTGGCAGAAGTGCTGTGAACCTCAGCCGGTGGGGCTGTGGGCTGGGGCGCCAGCGTAGGCGAGGCTCACCGGGAGACACTGGGGCCAGCGGCAGAGCAGGGGGAGCTGCTGGCCTTCCCGGGCGCCTGTCTGAACGAAAGGGCAGGCCCCGGGCCGGTTCTGCTTCTGTCCCCCCACTGTTTTCCTGTATAGCCTTTACTGCTGGGCCTGGCAGTGTACTGCAGAGAACAGAACCAACACACACACACACACACACACACACACACACACGGGGTCTTCAAGAAGTTAATGGAAAGTGTGTATTAGAAGACTGGGGCCCAGCCCGTGGCATGGTGGGTGAGGTGCTGGATCCCATATGGCTGACTGTGCAGTTCAAGTCCAGGTCCGGGACTACTAGAAAGAATTTTATGGGAAGAGGTGGGTGGGCAGAGCCTGTAGGGTCGAATTCACATTCACAGGGACTATGCTGCTCTGTGCACACACCAGCCGTGGGAGTCAAACTGCAGTTATAACTGGGATGCCGCTAATGCTATGTTAATGACAAGGGCGAGGAGGAGGTTAATGTTGGGCCTAGGAAAACACGCTGGGTGCATGTGTGTGTGTGCCCAAAACCCTGACAGGAGAATGGAGAAGAGACTGCAGCGTGGCTATCTCCCCGGAGGGTGACTTTTTTTCCTCTCTCTCGTTTCTGACAAGTACATGCAACCTACAGCAAAAAAGTAAAAAGAAAAAAAAAAAAAAAACCCAATGAATGGATTTCACAATTTTTTGCCTCAAAATAAACTTGTACTTTAATTCTATTTTTTCACTAACATTTTGAAATCTCATAATACATCTATGTACATGTTTACATTACATACACACACACACACACACACACACACACACACACACGGGGGATACTGACTGTTAAGGACTGGCTCACGGACGTCGAGGCTCGGCTACCCCCAAACCTCAGGGTGGCTGGAGTCCCAAGGAGGAGCTGCTTCCAGGCCCAGGCCACCAGCTGGCCGAGGCCCTCCTTGCCCAGGGTACATGGATCTTGGTTCTGTTCAGTCTTTGAGGCCATGCGGCCACCCGCGTGGTAGGAGGTAATCAGCTTTTCTGATTTAAACGGTAATCTCATGTAAAAATAAATACTTTCACAGAAGTCTCTGGAATAACTTGAGAGCAAACATCGGGGCATGTGGCCCAGCCAGTTGACTTAGGGAATTCAGCACCGCCCCCTCACACTGCAGAGTCCCCGCTAACACCAGGCTTCGCCTTGCCCAATTACCTACTGCCCTCCCACCAAGAGGGCAGAGCCTGTGCCCTTCCGGCCTGGCAGTCCCAGTCCCAGCAGGGGGCTGGGCACCATGAGGCCCTCTGGGTATGGAGTTTATAGGACTGGCCTACAGCCTGGTGGAGCGGGTTGCGGGGTGTCACCACCTCACCCGCTGGGTCAGGTGATCCTAGGGAAAGGTGTCTGCTACTTACAAACTGTGTGCCCCTGGGCCAGTTACTTAACCTCTCTGAGCCTCGGTGTCTCTTGTGGACAGACGACGCTGCCTGCCGAGATCACGCTTGCATTATGTCAGTCCCCTGGAGACCCACCCCTTCCCTTGATGATGGTTGCCCTCGTGTTTATGAGGACTGTTACCCTCGAAGGGCTTGGCCTGCAGTTAATCCCAGAATCACCCATGAAGATTGCACGCCAGGTGCTCTAAGGATGGGAAACCTTGGCTCAGAGCAGTGGAGTCGCTTGTTCACACTTGCACAGCTCAGGAGGGGCAGAGCGGGGATGAGGACCTGGGGGGTCCCTGGAGCTGCCTGCCCTCCCCGCATGGCCGCAGCTTAGGGGCCGGCTTGTGCCAGGCTGTGGGCCCTTCCTGATGAGTAGGGCCGTGCGGGGACGTCCAGACCCTTGCTGCCTTTGCGACCCCTTACCTGGCCCCTCTCTCTCGCCAGGTCCACGACTACCTTCGGAGCAAGCTCTGCTCCCTGTACGAGAACGACTGCATTTTCGACAAGTTTGAATGTGCCTGGAACGGGAGTGACAGGTAACCTCGGGCCTCGGGCCTGCCCCTGCCCCGCAGCAGGGAGTTTGGGTGCCGTGCTCCGCGGGTAATAAGCCCCGAGAACCAAGGTGTCGAGATAGGCCTCCCCTTGTGGGAGGTGCCAACTCTGCTCAAATTCAAGGGGCAGGAACGAGGCCCTTCGTCCTCTGTAACTAATGTCCACACGGAGCCCCTGTCTGTGGGGCGCGGTGGAGACACGCGTAGTTCAGCA